TGTCTGAAAGAGCATTCTTTTTAACACTTCTAAATAATATCAGCTTTCACCATGAGTCGTCATAACACTCCAATATGAATGGTCTTCGACTTCCAGGTTAGAGATTAAATGATTTAGATGAATGTTTCTGACTAGCACTTTTATCGTTGAGTTCCTTATTACTGAGTGGTGTTCCTAACCTAACAGCCAACTGAGGATTGGGACCGGCAGTAATTTTAGAGGATCATCACGCTCAATTTAGTTCGTCAGTCAAAATATTGAAAAAAAAAACAATTTACAACATGGGACCTGTAATTAGGAGCAATGTCAAATCAGGTTTCTTTGTACAACTAGTTGCTATTATTTGCATATTATTTGTACGTGATCTCGTGATTTATGCTTAGTTGAACTCATATGAACACACTCAGTAATACAGAACATCATCATGTTTAACCCACAGAATGGAGTAATGATCTCATCAATGTATGTATGTGTTTAGATCAAAATGTGATAATCATAATAAAGTGATCATATAAGTTCGAAAATGGACGAGATATATAGCACTTTTCTACAAATATATCTTACTCTTATTAAAAGACGCAGAAGAAATTTAGATTTCAGTACACATTTGCTAACTATAGTAATTGTAACCTTATTCAAGGTACCTTCATAAATCTCATACTGACTTGAGGTAAGTATCTTTCATGTTATATGCACATGTTAAAAACTAGGAACTTCTCATTTCCTTCAACTAATACAAGATCTTAGTTCCAAGTTACGATACGAAGTAGTAAACACTTTCTGAGTTTTTACAAATTATTTAATTACCCAAAGAATAAGTTAAGAAATTCAACCACATTTTCAATGATCACACACGACCAACATTTTTTTGTTGTAAAATACGGACAATGTCATTTTTGTCTGGACTAATAAGTTTCTAAAGAGTTGAATCTCCAACAGTTAATTATAAATTCATATCTCATTTTTCTTGTTCAATAGATCAAAGTTATTTCAAAGTGACAGAGAAAATAGTTTGTAAAAAATGAGAGCAAATAATCGCAGTCTTCCGATAAAAAGTTGCACAAACCAACAATCTTTGACCTCATATATATGTATATATATATCTGAAAACACGAAGCCGATCATGCGAAAAGAACAAACGTACTGAAAACATATACTTTGCATTATCCTCAAAGTGATGTCATCTTCGTTTGAAGGCTTTCTAGCAGGAAGAATTTCGAAATATGGTAGGATTTCTTGAAGTTGACAAACATAATTTCATTTGATATAGTGGCAATCCTTTTCGTTCTGAGTTGCTGTTACGGTAAGATTCATTATATATGACACTGCATCTTGATTAAAACTTATCAAATTTAATTTTGTTCACAATGTCTGTGTATGGTCAAATTTTGTTAATAGTTTGATATATCGCTCTTCACATTTTGCATGTTTTCACGCAATCACTTACATTTTCTGCATGCACGAAAGCAATACTGCATACACCATAATGCATCATACTGTAGTTAGGTAAAATAGCCAAATAACTACCTGTTTTAACGCTCAGTTTTACTTCGTCTAATGTTATAACGGTTGGGTTTTTGACGTTTACACGTATGGGACGTTAATTTACCTAGGACGAACATCTACACTAAATTTCCTCCCAGTGTCTATCCTGCAGGAATTCAACACAACTCAGATCAAGAACACGTGATAGCCTGACCAGAACGCAACTATATTTTCACACCAAAAACCCGACACAATCCAACAACAATGAACAGCCAATCAATAATAATAATTAATAATAAGAATAGGGGTATATATAACTCATCTGACACCTATCTGACTATCTCTGCACGTCTGAATAAGCAGACAAACAATCATTATCATTCTCGCTCACACATCACTACCAATTTCCAGAATTATTGCAAACGTAAAGTAGAGGCTTATATGATTGATTTGAAGATTTCTTGAATAAAGTATGTCAACATGTTGAACAAGAAAATTAGAATGTGATGTGCGTAAGCAGTGATAAAGTGAATTTTCATTGGGAAATTATAACATGCCTTTCTCAAATTAGTACTTAGTGAAAACGTAACCATAATGATGAAACTTTAATTTGGATATCTGGTTCAATTAAGGGTCTAAACGATTTCATATCATACAGTTAATCGGAGTCACGTTTTGACCATGTTAACTATTTTGTCTTATCAATCTTGGTTGTTTTTATGTGAGCGCATATGTGTATGCCCTTCTTATCCCATTCATCACATGTCTGTAGCTTGATTTTGTGTGACTAAAAATATTGATTAACGCTTGGTTAAATGGGGTTGGCTCACATGCCTTCTCCACTGCGCGTCATTTCGCTTCGCTCTCTTCTCTTTGATTCATTCCTTTATGGCCTGTTCAAATCAATGAATTCATGAAATATACATATTCCAAATTCATTCTCGTGTCTGGCTTAATTAATTCCATTATTCACTAACGCGAGTTAAGTCGATGATAATATACGAGGATTGACGATTTGCGTACTTCAATAAAAATCATTCATACGATATTATGGGAATCAGATCTCGTGCCACAAAAACATACAGTTAATCAGAAGTTATTCACAATCGTGGTTCAAACTTTGATTAAAAAAGACTCATAATGCATTAGGTAGAAAAGTGTATCGCTATATCAGATGTAATAAAACAATTCTTAATTTATTCACAATAAACATGAGCTAATTTTGCAAGTTTTAAACTGATGCATTTTAATGATTCCTGAAGAAGGGATTATTTACCTTTTCATAGAAATATAAACTATTCATGAATAAGCAATCATCATTAGATAATTTTGAAGTACCAGTGGATGCGTGGAAAGTAATAAGATTCACAGGATTTTTTCAATTAAATCAGTCTAAGGTTTATGAATCACATAGAAATGTTGCTTTATATTAATATTTATTCGTAATACATCTTTGCGAGTTTAATTATGTCATGATGGAATTCAGGTTGGTAATCGTAGTCAACTATCTTTACATTAACATTGTACATTCCACATGAAATCAAAACATATAGAGTACCCTATTCAAATCTCATTTGATTCACTGCAAGTTTAACAATAGCTGGAACAAATTTGATCGAATTTGTAAAAACTGTGTTTCAAAAACTGACAATACCAGTGTTGTAACGGGTGACTGCAGGTTATGCTAGGCAGCGTATTTATCGATCGCTTCTGTGACAGTGACACGGAAACATGTAATGGACGACCTAGAGCCCTGATTGGTCTCGCTTCCCTGTCTAGCCCCAGCCAGTTGAGTCAAGAACGCAAGTCACAGCCTCTGGGTTATGAATCATTATATTTCAAACATACTTTGTTTATATACCAATCAAGCATACCACATCGTACCATAAAATAGGAAACAACATTTACAAAATATTTAACAAGTGAAGTAAACACCGACCAATAGGAAATGTAGATTTAAGGTCCAAGGACACCATTGGATTTAACATGATAATTATTGGTCTATTTTTCCGACTACCTAACAACCAGAAATCCAAACACATCATATTTCATGTGTGAACAACTATGCTCTAACCTCATATTTAACCATTTCAATAGGTTTCTTTGAAAAATACATGACTTAGATCCTGAACAGTTTTGAACTTATCTAATATTAATCATTTATTTCTTCGCAAATAGTTTTCTTTCTCATGTTTTCCACAGATGCATTATATAATGATTATTAGTCAATTTATCCACGACGTTTCATAAGTTCCCATCAACAATTAGATCCCTGAAATTATTTCAAAATATCTGAAAAACAAAATGAAAAATTTTAAACCTTATTCACAGTTAGCAATTTGTATTACTCTCCCAGTTTTCCACATTCTACGAGTATTCCATGTACCTCAGTTAATGGTTGCTCTGGCTGTCAGAACGGGCATCAGACTCGTAATTTCCGAATGAACTCGGCTTTCATCATGAGGCGTCATAACTCTTCTAAATGATCTTCTAATTCTCAGTGTAGAGTTTAAATGATTTGGATTTTTTCTGGTTAGCGTATTTTTAGCGAGTTAGTTTTCTACGGGATAGGGTCAGTAACTCCATGCCCAACCCTCCTCATTTATCTGGGCATGGGACCGGCAGTAATCGTAGAGGGGTTCCAGACGGAGTTGTATTCACTGATAAAGCACGTATAAATATAATTCTCCTATTGTTTACTAAGCAATATGTTTTATTGTCAATAGTTTTAATGGATATTTGAATACACTTGAAAAACATTATCTTAGATAAAATAATCTTGTTGGTGGAATATTATCATTTGACAATTAGACAAAACTAATACATAATCAGTAACAATGAATTGGGAACAATGATAGTCACATAATTCATAATGTATTCCGACAAAAACAGGTTTGAAACAAATCATTATGAAACATGATAGTTATAATAATAAATACAAATAGAGACACAAGATAGAAAAAATAAACTGTCAATAAATCATACTGTGGCGTGTGTTATTGATGTCGATAGATACAAGTAGTACGTATCATCAATCGAAAGTGAAATTTCTGGCAGCAGAAGGTTGAGGAGGTCGAAGAAAAGAGAACGAGAACAGTGAATGATTGCTGCGAAAATGAAGAAACAGTCGAGTTTGGGACAATTGATTAACATTTAGCAAATGGAGTATTTCAGATTTTTAGTAACATGTTCCGTATTTTGTGTTCAAATACATTCGATTGTCTCCAGTTATGAAGCACTTACATTTATCATCATAAAATATGCAGGAAATAAATAAATAAATATCACAGTATGTTCATAGAGTGTTATATTGATCAGTCTGATCATGGAATCCCAAAATAGTTCTAACGAAAATCATCATCATCATCTCTTTTCCGGTCTGATATTCGATCAGTTTGAGAAATCACAGTATCATTAACCGTCTTGTGTAATTCATTGTTTATTGATTGTCTTAATAGTATGTAATTTTGATGCTATCAGGAATTTTCCATGGTCAACATATACTTAGATTTATGATGATAGAGCTTCTCAGTGTCTTACTTTGTGTCATTTCAGAATTCATTGGAACAGATGAAACCACACGGATTACGGAAACACCTGACATCGGTTAGTCAATTTTTGTTTATTTGACAAAATGAATAGTAAAACGATCGAAATAATCTATTAATTATGATAATCAAAAAAGTAGGCATGAATGGATGCTTTAGTTCAGAATCAAGAGAAAGATAAAGAGCGAATGTAGCCTTCACACTGTAACTGTTTTTGAATCATATCACATCAAAATACCCAAACGTCTGTTCATCAAGCATTTAGAATGAAGTATCGTGGAGTACTAAATCACCTCATAAACTATCTTTCTTTGAATACCTTCAATGTCATAATGAACATCACCGTGTTCATACTTCCACATTGCTGTAGGTCGATTAATTTGTAGCAGTAATCCACCGTTCTAACGGAGATATCCGAGAATGGGAAGTAAATCGATTAACTAAATACGAGCGATGCCATAAGCTGTAGAAAATAGATCAATGTGAGAGTTATCTCCTTAGTGAATCAGTCTCACTTATTTATAATAACATCCAATTGTAATTAAAAAACTAGGGTCTTATTCCCCACAACAGTAATGGTCAAATGTTTAAAGCAACTACCTTACACTTAATCGTTCTGAAATCGTCTGTCTTATGTATTCCTCAAATCCTCGTTTCAGTAGTTAGTTTTATTGCTTACACATTTTTATGCAGCAACAAACACATTGGAAGAGACTATGCAGAATAATACCGATAACTCACGTTTCTCGAATCATTGTATTGATTTTTACGAAACTGCATGTGGAGAGTGGGAAAAACAGAACCCTTTGTCGGGTGATAGTGCTAGTTCAACCGTTATGCAACAGATGGGAATGAACGTTGATAACTACTTCTGGGAGATAATTGGTAAGTCATAGTAAAATAATGTTATCATAATATAATTTGTGCTGATTTCGATATTATAAATATTTCCCTATAATTAAAACTTCATATAAAGAGTATCGAATTGTTTAGAGTTAAAGCCTAAATTTTGTTGCAGAATCCATGCAAGTAGGCAGACAGCCATGCTTCAACCAAACCGAAGGATCTGTAAACTAACTCAAACAAAGTTTCAGTCACTTAAAATATAGGTAATATCACTTCTTGAATAAATAACTATTGTTTTGAAAGAGGTCCACCTATTTATTTCCCTTTACTGAATGCGATACACGAAATTATTTTCAAGAAGTTACAATGTAACTTCTAGTTAAAAGCGAGTGATATGTATGCTTTTGGAGTAAGGTCCAATCGTATATTTAGCTGAAAGTTCATAAGCCAGGCTACATACCATTTGACATTTATCAGCGAAGTATATTTAGAATCTATTTCAAAATGATGATTTACATGGGATACGAAAACTTTGGACCATGTTAGATAGTAAGCGACATAATGCTGAAGCTATTCGGATGGATTATGGCCTTTAGTAAGACTAAGATATGAATAATATCGGGCCACACTGTTTTACATAATTCTATCCAGCTTTTGTCACGAAAGCTGACTTGTGATTCTGCTAAGATGAAATGTCGTTACCAGTACAAATGACTCTACATCGAATTCCTTGAAGTATATCAGTCCTTCAAGGTTGGATTCACGCAATGTTGGTGAGTAACTGCAAAGGCTTTCTGTAATCTTCCTCCATTTACCTAACATCAGAATTCCGTAGTCTCTTTTGAGTTTCAAATTTACAATAATTTATTGAACGAATTCGTTAAGATTACGGTCAATATTTATTCTCCATAATTTGATGTCAATAATTGACAATGCTTTCAAGCTAACGATTCATACTATAAAGAAGATTGGCGCTTACAATCAGCTCGAGCATTTTACAAATCTTGCGTAAATAGTCGAAATTCAAACACAACGCGTGAAAGTCGTCATCACTTGATAGATATATATTTTGGCGGATGGCAACTAATACCATCACTTTCGACGGAGATAAATAATACAAATGGGCGAAATCAAAGTCAAATGAATAACAGTCTTACCGATCTATTTCTACCAATATTAACTCAAACTGGACGTTCACCTTTATTTTCAATGAACATCGCAGAGGATATTTTTGCCGTCCTAGTAAGAACTTCAATTATAAATCCTATATCAATCTTCTTTTATTATATTGATTGTTTTTGAATCTATTTAAATCATTGTCCATACACCCTAGAACTTGACGTTGAAATACTCATATCAAGTAAACGTACTGTGCTCAATTTATAGTAAACTAAAAATGATTGTCCACTTCTAGTTATGACCTATAACCCAAACCAGAGTAAGAAATCATAATGAAGTGTGTTTTGAAAAAATCCGTATGTAATATACGCTATTTAATTAAAACTAGATTCTAGTATGATAAATATTTATATAATGTGTACATGGAGCAATAGCATTTAAGTTATATATATATATATATATATATATATATATATAGGTGGACCCTGTGATGTGATTTCGATGAATTTGTTGCAATATTCTGCTGCAAATTTTAATTAACTAATAAGTAATTTTCACTGTCGTAGCTAGAGATTCTAAGATGTACACACGTGAATAAAAAATGTATTTAGACTTTGATAAGAAAGTCTGGTATTTCAAATACCTTTTTGAATACAACGACGACTAAATATATCATCTACTGCATTACTAAGAAAAAGCATTTCATTGATGTTACCTACCAAAAACTAAAATGTAACTCTGACGACAGATTAACCCATTTCGGTTATACTTAACGAAGACTACTTAAGTCATATTTGTAGAACTAAAGCCATGACACATCATACTACTTTAAATTCTTTTTTATTGTTGTTTGACCTTTCATGTGGCATGTAAACTGGTCATAGTGAATAAAAGAATTTTGATAAACCGCTCACATAACCATTAAAAATTAACTGCTATCATTTAAGAAAACTTCGACTTCTGAGTAGTCAAGGATACTGAACCACTCATGTTAAAGATGGTTCCACCTCGTAACACGGTACATAACTTAAAGCACTATCAAGTAACATTCGCTTGATATTGTTTACTTCAATCTTCCCATTAGGGTTTACGACTGCGATTGATCAGTCTGTTATTTGCATATGTGCATACTGTGCGTATCGCCCCTAAATTCCCTTAATTCACAAGCATTCTAGACAAAGATAGGTGGTGGCTATCAGTGGAATAGAGGACGCGCTCTTCGTCCTACTTGGGACTCGTCAGCTGGATATGCTTGGATCTGAGAGTGGAGACTGATCAATTGCAGTCCTGAACATCAATGGGAAGATTCAAGTAAACAATACGGAGTGAATTCAAACTTCACTCCATTGCACAAACTAGTGGCTATCAGGAGTCAGTAGCTAAGTGGATCACGCGATGGCGTTTGAAGCGAACGGTACTGAGTTCGTGTCTCACAGTGAACATCAACTCTGAGATACAGGTACATCCAGCTGACGAGTCCCGAAAAGGACGAAACGCGCGTCCTGGATTCCACTGCTAGCCACTATCCGTCTTTACTAACATGTGGAGTATGTAGACAAAATTTAGAGTTTTATACGCAACTATAGTAGGTTTGAGTAAATTACGGTCAATGAGGTTAATGTTGACAAAGTTCAGATTTTGTAAGGGCTGTTCTATTGCTTAAGGAAATTGACTATGGTTAGTTATTATTTTCGGTACAGTCACTCTATAAACACATCATCTCTGTTAGGCAAATCTTCATTTCGACATCGGTGTTCTGAAACACTGTCTAAAAACACACACTCCTTCAATGCACCTTCAATGTCCGGTTTAGATCTAACAATGAATTCTGGATATGAACTTATGGTAAGCAAAGAGTTTCCTACTGGACCCTCTTCTAATGTATCAATTCATGGTCAAGCCCAAGTATATGATACTTATGCAAAAGATACACTGATCACACGTGTGTATTCTATAACAAAAATATCATCTCCATCATCATCCTGAACAAATTCAATAATTGTCATCGTCCAATTACATTTACGTTGGAAGCTAAGGTGATTTTGAAATTTCGCTCCCTTTATTTTCTGTTAAAATTGCCCCAGATGGTCCATCACAAGGGTTCATACACATTAAATAGAATGATCAATACTTGAATTGTGTATTTCAGTCTCACTGAATAGTTCAGTAATTAACCTCAAGGGCCAGGAGGATATATTTCAAAAACACAATAAAAATAAATTACCCCGACTCAGACAAGAACTTATTAAGTTTAGTTGTCAGTCTAGGCTCACAGTTAAAAACCTTTTATGGGAACAGAAATCTGAATGACCAATAATTGTTCAAAAAACTTTGTTCATTAGCACTGAGTTTCACGGTGGAAGCTTTGAAAAGTCGAGTTACAAAATCTCAGAGAAAATCATTTTAAGCGACCAAGCTTTGCATCGTCTACAAACAGCTAGTCAGTCATGGAAGTGACAAAAACAGACTAACCGTTTGACATAAATCAACATGCGTTTGTAATTTTACTTGCTCTGACGGAGCAGGTCAAATTAGCTACACAAAAATCAACACTTTCTGAAAGTGTCTCAAAACATCATCCGGTGTGGATTGTCAAAGGAAAATCGAAAACAATCGGCAAACTAAAACAGAAATAGCCCATCAATTCTGGTCACAATGTCCCACTAGGATTATCCTTCAAATCCATCTGTACAGATATACAAATGAAGGTCCTATCAAAACTGCCTTACTTGTGAGTCTTCAGCAGTTTACAGATTCAGACCAAAAACAACACATATAATCTATAACACTTCCGTGGGTCTTTCACCGCTTCCAGCATATTTTCTATTATTATACTTTACTTCTTTAATCAATAGCCAGTAATAATGACCTGCGTACAACTTTTCAGAATTATTATTCCATTGTCATCATCACCTTGAAGGGTTCAAGTTTTCCTTCATGTCTATCAGGTTAACAATAATCTCTCTTATTTCTGACCTGGAAATAACTTTTATGTTCCTAATCTTCATTAACGCCTAGATCATTACCTAACCTTCCTTTGATAATTGATTTCACCGAATACCTAGACATAATTTCTTAATACAATTCTACAAACTCATTCATTTATTAAATCTCTATAGATGCCATTGTAAGGTTTTGGCAAAGGATAACGTCGAAAAGAAATTTACATCACTGTGTTGTCTTTTTTTCACTTACGGAACTTAATTACCACCATTTCTTTTCACATAAACCACATAAATGGTTTTATTGAAATCCACTTAGCAATTACATTTCTAAATTACAATTTCAAGTAGTGAATACACGTAATAAATCATTGTAAATCAATGTGTCATTCCATGTAATGGTAATATATATAGGAATAACATACTCTCAATATATCTCATAAACAAGAAATTGTATCAAACTAAGCAAATATATTTCACATACATGTTGTTGGTGAGAACAGGTTGAATAAAATTCAGATTGCTATTACATGTTTTATGCAGTCTGTACTTTGTTTAATTGTTTAACAAACCACTGCAATGTATTTTGTAATTCTAATCTCTCATCAGATTTCACCTGGTCAGTTCGCTTTTCAAACAGATTTACAGAAGGTAACTTTTAAATTTGTCTAGAACTTATTTATTTAATAGGTAATTCAATGAAAGCTTCTGACTTCTATCTCATATTGATTTGAATAAAATGTCAGAAAAGTCTTAAATATTGACGTGCAAACGTTTCATTCAGCCGAATGATTAGTACCACGTATTTACTTAAATTATTCCTTGGTATCAAAATTAATGCATTTGGATTAACTGGCGCTCTATGTATCACGTCACTGAGTTTAATTTAGACGTTTTCATGATATTACAATATCAGCTCTTCAATATAATGTTTATTCGTGGCATCTAAAGAAAGTTGTCAAATTATGGTAGCAGCCGAATTTTTGAGAATTCAGTAAAGTATTAACAGACTGCTACTCACCAGGCCATATTTGAACACTTCATTTATATACGTTTACATTATATCACAAATCCGCTTTCAATATCGTCTCCAATCCTGTATTTCTAATACATTTATGTAATTACGGTAGATAAGTTGATTGACACTTTGACACAGTATTTAATGCCTGAAATTACACTTAGATGATACTTCAAACAATTATCTTCATAACAGTATTTTGTGAGAAAAGATTTGTCTAATAAAAACTCAAGTTTTATGCAAAATTAAGGAATACGTTAGCTGACAGAGTATGATGAGAATGTGAATCACAAACTGCATTGATATATTTGTAAGTAATGACGAAAGAAGACATCATATTGTCATATCGCATTTGTAATTCCAAAAGGTATTTGAATAGATTTACTAATATTTCTATATAAAGTTAAAATTGAAAAAATGGATGATAAAATTTCAGCAGGATTTTTTAAAGGTACATAAATGAAGTACACTCTTACCAGTTCATTGACAAGGTGAACGCACTCTACGATAATATAAATATTTTGTTCGCATAAATATAAATCCTGTCTTTCGTAGTACATTGCTTTCCTATGTATTACGAATGCTAAGTGTGAGATGCCAGGGTGGGAACATATGTGTCATCAATATGGAAGTTCGATACTCATAATAATCTGACTTAATCTAATACATTGTAGAATAGCTAATGAATAGTCATTCTCAACCAGAACAGTCGACAAATGTTGAGTCACAATAGAAAAACACAAAACTATTTGTATATTTCGGAGATATCTGTACATCTTGAATAACGATCATAAATATTTCACAGATAAATTCTGTCTTATATCAATGTGCATTTCAACGTCTCATCCACTCAGTTTTACATGTATATTTCAGTTTGAGTAAAAGATGTTCCAAATTTTATTTGACAGACTGATATGGATAAATCCGAAGAGGATTACTACAAGCTTGCATTTGAAACTGGGGTACCTCAGTCTCAAAAACCACAACTAATGGATGCTTTCCGAAAAATGATTCGATTAGGCAGAGTGAGTTTATTTAAGAATTTGTATGTTTCCAAGTCAAAAATAAGATAATATTGTTTTGCGCTACTGAAATTGATCGATTTTCTCTGCACATAATAATCTGTTCCACGTACAAATTTTGATGTACATTCCCCTCATTTATGAAAAAACGAACGAAATATACGAATAACCACTTACCTGAATTCTATGGATTTTAGCATCACAATAAGTTGTTAACCGTTAATAAATGCATAAGCGTATGTCATATAGCTATTATGTATCATTGATTCACGGAAACAGATTGGTAATCGACTGCATTAACAGCAACTGGGAAATGTGACTCCGAGGTTTGAGCAGATTGCCTATTTCTGTAGGTCTTCAGATTGATAAAAATGAATAATAGAAAAACCACTCGAAATACCGAAACAGATTTCAGACAAATATCATGGTAACATTCTTTCCTCGTAGTTCTCACCTAATTAGTAATGGCTATTAAACGCCGTTCAACCGAAAAATCTCCTTTCGTTACTGTAAACTCGACTACAAGATCATTATTGGCAGTAAGATTTCATCGTTACAATTGGTGAACTATGTCTCTTAAAATCCTTATATCGTATAACTGGAGTGTGCAATTGTCAGGCCATGAATGTTAAATGATCTTCATCCAAGAGTCACTTTTGTGATATCCAATTGAAATTAAGATACAACTGTCATTTTGATTCTTGTTATGTTTTACGCTCAATCTCCAAAAGAGGTCGAACTCAAAGAAACAACACTTGAAAGAATTTGTGACGAAAAACGAACTACAATCCATTTGTCCACAGGTAAATATTATCATATGACTTGCCCCAACTATATTTTTTAAAAAATATGAAGCAGTTTAACTGAGTGTCCCTAACAAAAAGTGTAGTTGATAACTATCAACGTATGCTACAAAATGTAGGTTACTTGGCACAGAATAGTGAGACATTATTTATAGTGAACAGATGAAAGTCAACATTTGAAATCTTCATTTTATAGAATACTTGTAAGCTAAGTTTTCTAGAAATCTATATTTACTTGGAATTTCAATAATCACTATTAGATTACTGAACTGTTTTGCCTAGTAATACACAGGTGGTCATCTCTATGAAAGAGGCTGTTATATGTGACGTGAAAGTCACTGAAAATATTATTCCATTTCATCTCGAGAAACCATATTATGAGCTCATTGTAACTTATTTTACTTGTGTAGATCGATTGGAGTTATGCACTTGAAAAGGTATTACAAGAAACTGGATATGTAAACTACCACAAACTACCAATCATTATAGAACGGCGAAATGAACTCCGTCAACGTTGCGCAGAATACCGTGAACTATTGACGGAAAAAGATGGTGGAAGGTAAAGCATAATTTATTTTCTTTATGGTCGGCAACAAACATAGAATTTCGCAGTCGATAAGTTTGTAAAAATAAACACCTGCATCTCTCAACAACGAATTATATTAGTGTAAAGGACTTGTGGAGACTGTAGAAATTGCACTTTTAAATCATGAGTTTACCTCAGTAACACTACCACTGAAAACCTAGAAGCACTTGACGGTTCCTTTGACCTCGTATGAGATGCTCAATCTGTGGTTATCCACCACAGGCAATAGATGAGGGTCGCACGATATCGTCACTTGAAATTAAACCTTTACACCGTTGGATACTAACTCAATAATCTAGAAACTTAACGTACATGTGTGAGGCTGAGGAGCTTGACTTCGATTCCTGGATGCGAGTTCGTGGACATGCACTACTGAGGAGTCGCATACTAGCAGGAAACGGCCATTCAATGTTTCCCGGTTTTCACAGGGAGTCTAACCAAAATCAATTCATGATTTAAAACTGTGAAAATAATTAGGTGAGATCGAAATGGAATCTAATAGCGGTACATAAGTTTAGTAATTAAATTTGGATAATAAAACTATTTACGTTCTGCACGAAAACATTTCATCGTTACACTTGCCACAAAGAAAGAGACTGTTATAATTTACAGAGTTCAACACAGATTCTAATCATTCGATTTCAATCTATGCCAGAAAGACACCCATATGAAATATTTAGTCAATTTTATTTGCCAGTAGCTGTTTATTGATCAATATTACTACCTTACATTCCTACCTAGTAGTTGAGCAAAATGTTAAGATTTTCACACTTTAATCAAGTAAATAAAAACATAGTTTTTGATTGCTTTGTCTCAAACATTTAAAATGAATCATATCAATGATTGACTAATGTGTTGACTTATTTGTTTCTAAGAAACTGGACAGATTGTTTACGTTAGTTCGGTCAACTTGGATCGTCTTCTTTGAAATTTCACAATTTCTAGATGGACTAATTTCAATCTTAACTACATTCTTCATCTTGTATTTGGATTATGCACTGACGAAGCTTAATAAGATAATAATAAGCTATTTTCACTTTTCACAAATCAGATTATGCAATCCACATTATCTGTTTAGGATCACTCGGAACTAAAATCATTTGAATAATCCAATTTCATTTTATTCTCATGAACATTTGTAACAAATGCATAAAATTTATTGCTTTACTTATTTGATTCAGATAAAATAGAGATTAAGCACATTTTAGAACTCGTATTTCAGACTTGTAGGTCGTTCTAGAAATTTACAAATGCTGAGAATAAAGCTCTAGAACAGTTATTCGAATTTAGAACCATTTGTCTGTGTTATTTGTTAATTCAGTATGTTGTTTTACCGATGCTGTTTCATTATTACTCTCAATACCTTAGCTTTATTGATCTAACTTTTTTCCCTTCATTAGTACTCTACGCACAATAGCTGTTATGGACTTTTTAAGAGAACAACAAAAGAATACACTAAACGTCCATACATTTGGAACGATTCATAACTTCAATTCATGTTAGTTATATATTCAGAAATGTATTTATTTACTTAGTACTGAAATTATACAATAGAATTACTTAATTTGTAGTTAATAACTAAAACGTATGGAATATTTAGGTCATGAAATTTTTTCACTACACACGGATATATCAATTCAGATATAGTTTTACCCGTTTTCATTATATTGCATCCCGTTTTGAAGAAACTAGATGGGAATTGGATTTAAGTGAAATTTTCGACAAAGAAATCATGAAGTGATTATTCGTAATAGACAATCTTGATGACTGACATTAATTGATAAGACATATATTCATTTCCAAACTGTTAAATCGAGAATGTCACTTGGCAATAATATACTGATTTAATTACTCGTTACTGTGAAATATCCATCTTAAAGTCAATGATGAGACTATGAAGCGGTTATCCACGTGACACTGAATTTCTAACCACGTTTCTGTATGTAATTCAACGATTTTATTGCATTGAACTGTTTATAAGAACGACTGGAATAACGACATTCAATATCACTTATCGACCCTAAAATATATACTAGTGGCCAGTAATTTTCGTTTGATAATGTATTTATTCATCATTACTATAATACATAATTATACTTCTGAACAGGTAAATGTATAATAAAGTGGAGTTTGGTGCGGATTCAATTAAAAACTGCTTTTCCGCTCTGATGCTAAACGACTAAACTACTAACGCACTTATTCATGTTTTAGTTCTTCAAGAATAATGTACGGAGAAAAATGTGTACCCTTAGGAAACAAACATCTTTTCACAAGTTATAACGACCTTCACAATGCTTTGAAAATGAAAATGCTGAGCTTAATTTCTTATCCACTGTGATTAAAAGGTACAGTATATCAGTTTATAACCGTTGTCAGAGTAACAACAAGGAGATAGGTTGATCGGTAGCGAACAAACTTTGTATGTCGATGGTCTTCATTACTAGAAACGCTCTGACCACTGTTCATGTGTTGCAAATTTATATACTTAACAAGTATGATATTCTTAATTTATATGATCTAAGGTCACCAGTGATGTCGAAATTATTGAGCATATGAATAAACTTAACGTCAAACGCCTGATAATCACTGACTGCTAGCATCAATAAATATACTAATAACCAGTATAAAAATGTTATTCATCAATAGAAACCACATAAATAAACAAGGAAATAGTTACTAGTCAAAACAAAACTTCCTATTGTATTCTTCCTGCATAATTCAACAGTAGACATATTCATATATGAACAAATCCAGTATACTCTGCAAATCCCATCAACGTAATCCATTATCCCTGAACCAATGTACATTTATTCATCACTGTCATTTTCAGTCATATTGTTAGAAGTGAAATGACTTGAAATAGTAATTATCTAAAGTATACTTTGAAGCACGTCCTGATATTCAAAGCAATGTAGTGGACGTAAACAGATTATTGATTAAACATTATTTTAAATATATTCTTTCTGCAATTAGTGTTGAAGCAAGTATACGATGATTGAGTATACAAGTAGTCATGAACACTAGATCTGTAAACACTGATTTGAACGATAGTGTCATTTGTTTCATTATCAAGATCAACTTTGTATTTGTTGACACACTCACTGATTCCGTTCCGTCCTTTTATAAATTCATTTGATCTTTCAAAACATAA